TGGTGACTTTAACGCTCAAGTAGGGAAATTGTGTCAATCTGAGAAGGATGTCGGTGGCACCTATGGAGTTCCGTGCCAGCGAACCGACAACGGTGACCGTCTCCTACAGTTCTGTTCAGATAATCATTTGTTTCTTGTAAGCACTAACTTTAAACACAAGGAGAGACACTGTTTAACCTGGCGACCCCCATCATCAAACCAACGCTGGACACAAATAGACCACATAGCAATAAGCTATCGTTGGCGTGGGTCGGTAGGAGATTGTCGCTCCTTCTGGAACACGTGTGTAGATACCGATCACGCACTGGTCCGGGCTCGTGTGTGCTTACGACTGAACGGACGTAGGAAACAGCTGGCGGTAAAACCATCACGTCCCCAGCTCGATCAGGAAACTAAATCCCTATTTGAGGAAGAACTAGCTAAACGCATATCTGAATTCGACAGCTGTGCTCACCCTGGAGAAGCCTGGAAGAATATTCAGTCAGCTATAGATACAGCTGTAAAAGCTGTGAATAAGGCAAATCCAAAGGTGAGTAAAAACCACTGGATTTCGACTGCCTCATCCGAACTGATAGATGCTAGAAGACTTATTCCGGCGAGCTCCGAATTCAATGAGGAGCGAAAGCTGCACAAAAGGAAACTTACTAAAAGTCTCCGCAAGGACCGTGAACAGTGGTGGGTGACAAAGGCGAAAGAGATGGAAAAAGCATCGGCGATAGGCAACACTAGGCAACTCTTTAGACTCATCACAGAATCGGGTGGGAGAAGGCAATTCATAAGTGAGACTATTTCTGAGAAAAATGGCTCCTTAATTAGCTCTCAGGATAGACGCCTTGAACGCTGGAAAGAACACTTTGAGGAACAATTTAACTTGCCTACAGCCACACTGAACCTCCCCGCCATCCACCACACCCGAATGGGATATAGACACTGGTCCGCCGTCTGTAGGTGAGGTTACAAAAGCTATCAGTAATTTGAAACGAGGCAAAGCGGCAGGACCCGACGGAATTATTCCGGAGGTGTTTAAATATGGGGGTGACATACTAGTTTGTAGATTAACTGAGGTACTAGGCAAAGTCTGGGAATCAGAGACAGTTCCATCAGACTGGGGTAAGTCACTTATTATACCGATATTCAAGAAGGGAAACAAGTCCTCGTGTGATAATCATAGGGGGATCAGCCTAACGAACATAGTCTCTAAAATCCTAGGCTCAGTAATCATGCATAGACTAAGCAGAACTCGGGAGGAACAGACAAGGGAAAATCAAGCAGGCTTTAGACCAGGTAGAGGGTGCATAGATCATATCTTCACTCTTCGACAGATTCTAGAACATAGACACACTTTTCGGCGTCCAACAATTGTCATATTTCTTGACTTGAAGGCGGCCTTCGACTCCGTGGATCGAAAGGTACTATGGCAATGTCTGACTGTGAAGGGAGTGCCAAGAAAGTACATTGCACTAATCAAGGCACTCTATTCAAACTCACGTAGTCGTGTAAGGGCTTATGGGGAATTGTCATCTGAATTGGTAACAACCAGTGGTGTCCGACAGGGATGTCCACTTTCCCCATTTCTGTTTAACTTCATCATAGATATGCTAATGGAAGTATCCTTAACTGAACGTAATGACTTAGGAATCGACTTGTTACCAGGGAATAATCTTATGGACTTAGAATATGCAGATGACATAGTCCTGTTAGGGGAGGATGCTGACAAAATGCAGAGTCTTCTGAACACCTTGAGCAGCAATCTTCGTATGTTTGGCATGCGATTCGCCCCTGCAAAATGTAAGATGCTGCTACAGGACTGGACCACGTCAACTCCTAACTTAGTGATAGGGAGTGAAGTGATAGAACATGTTGACCACTTCACCTACTTGGGAAGTTGTATTAGCACCAACGGACTGATTGGCGATGAAATCTCAGCACGGATCCGAAAAGCTCGAGCTGCTTTCGCTGACTTACACCATCTCTGGCGTAGGCGTGACATCCGGTTATCAACCAAGGGACGTGTGTACTGCTCATCAGTTCGCTCCGTCCTTCTCTATGGCTCTGAAACATGGCCAATACGCGTTGAAGACATGAAAAGGTTGACTGCTTTCGATCATAGATGTCTGCGATCTCTGTCTCACGTTAGGTGGTTTCACAAGATAAGTAATGTTGACGTTAGGCGTAGAGTGTTGGGCAAAGAGGGAAAATCAATCGACGAGGCTATAAAGTTACATAGACTAAGATGGCTAGGTCACGTGCTGCGCATGCCTAACCACCGCCTCCCCCGACGGGCATTGCTAGCTGATATAGGTTCAGGTTGGAAAAGAGCCAGTGGTGGCCAAACAAAAACATGGCATCAATCCATGAAATCCTTGACAGTTAAACTGAGTCAGGTAGGGAGATGCAGACTCCCGGGTTGGGGCCCTCGGGACTCTAGGAATCAATGGCTGGAGACAATAGGTGACATGGCTCAAAATCGTTGTCAATGGCCAGCGCAGATGTATTCAGTCTCTGTAATCTTTCATATTCCTTTCTACCATTACCCATTCTGTTTCACTCTTATACTTGTCAAACTCTATTGATTCTCTTCACTCATCTTCTTGTCTACCTCTGTGTGCTATTTGGAACGTGGCAACTCGAACTGCTGCACTTCGGTGCCAAGTTCTATGTTGAATCCAGACAGACAGACAGACTTGCTTTTTATATAGTCAGTCGTTTTGCGTCATACTATTTTTTTATTGTTACTTTTCCACATATGTATCCGGCATAGCTACTGTATGGCGTTTATTATCGACTCAAGGCAAACAAAGAGATCCAGTGATTAACCTCTCTATATATCTCTCTCTCTTTCATCGGATCTCTATTCATTGAAAGCCGATACTGGATATATATGGAAAAATTGTAACAGAAAATCAAGGAGAGAAGTGGTGTGGATAAAGATATTATAAAACAAGTTATACATTGATATGATTATGAACAGTAATGAAATGTACTCAGGAACGTTACCACCCAATTATTAATACTGTTGTCACTGTATGCTAGTCAAACAAAAACTAAACTTATCTAATAGGGAGTTATATTCTACCAAATTGCCCAAATTAATCGAACATTCTGTTTGGAATAATAAAGTGATTGTTATTAGTTATCATAGTGTGGTGAGGGCTGGCTGTTAGTCAAAATTGGTGGACAGTAATTTACGTCAATGTTTATGTCCCCAATACTGGTTGTGAGAAAAATGAGAACAAAGGCTTTGCGTAGGCGGATACAGTTAACATATGGATGATCGGACATTCAAGAAACAGTCATAAAGAGATGCAAGGTTAACTTTCTGTGAGAAACAATCAATCAGAGGATTGTGTTTTTCTGCTAACAATAATCTCTATAATATGTACATGAAAATCTATGAATATGTGTTGATTTCCTTAATAAACGATCTGTTGCCTGACTCTTGTCTTTTATTGTTACAGATGCAATACTCCTGATAAAGAGAAAATATAACCGTGGTCGAGAAAAAGCAAATAACGTTTAGGTGATTTAGATTGTACGATACCACTGCACGGAAAGGATTCGTCGAAAGATAATCAGACGGAAAGTCAAATACTTCAATACCCCCATTATCACTAGGTTGGTGCAACCAGGATATAACTAGCTGGCATCCCTTGGATATATTCACTACAACACAGTCAATAGCACTAACGATTTTGTGGATCCTAATTCCTTTATCGACGAAATCATCTTCAGAGGCTGTACAGTCGTATTTATACAATGTGTGTTTATGAATTCACCTTCTCGTGTGGAGCTAGTTATATTGGCCGCACAAAGCGCACGCTTTTCAAACGCATCTCTGAACATTATCCGGCATGGTTAACAAAGGGACAATGGAAGACATTTCCTAGCTCAATTCTCGAGGATTTAGTGAAGTCAGGTCACGTAGCTCCATCAGAGTCGTTTTTCAACATCATCTACAAAGTGAAGCCAAATGGTACAAAGGGCGTCAGGTTTCGACTTTTGTGTATGGCGGAGGCGCTGGCAATTCATCAATACAACCATGAACTCTGTATACAGAAAAAGTTTGTCCAGTCTCTTATTCAACCTTGGTCTTAACGTCTTCAGTAATCTTTCCCTGTAAAAACAATTTTGACTTTTTTTTGTTTTTAATTTTACTTTTAGTTTGCTTTTGCTTTAATAATTAATTCGCTATTATCACTCTCATTTACTCCTTTTGTACATTTTCACATCCTCTTCACATTTGTTAAATTGACACTCAAATACCCTTGTTCTCACTCAAGAGCAATTTTAACCTTATCAAACTTCTATCTTTGTTCTGTTGAGGAGCGCGTAATTTACAACTTTCAATTTTCACTTCTAAAAGCCACTTCCGAATAATTATATCAATTATGTCACCGCATATTACTCAATAATAGACCACTATATATTTTTCTAGGTGTAAATACGACTGTACAACCTTTGAAGATGATTTCGTCGATAAAGAAAATTTTCTTCGCTGAATCTGTCTTTTATTTTCTTCATGACTCAACGGGTATTTTCGGTGATCCTTATTCCATCGAAGGATTTTGGGCAAGGTTAAAGAACATGATTAGAGCCAATAACGGATCTCAAAATGAGGCTATTTACAGCCATTTAGATGAATATACATGTATAGAGTGTGGTTCAACTTTTCTATTGACACTCCTATGGAAAAATGACAGGCTTTTTTTCTCACATATCAGAGAAAGGCATCCTATGTAACATTGTTATGTCCTTTTTTATATATTATTTTCATAAATATATATGGATTTTACACGTGAAAATAATCTTTTTCATGTGATTGTGCATTCAAGGTCATTTTTTGATTGGTTGTTACTGCGATGCTGAAAGTTTAACTTCGCCACAAAATAAAATCACAGTGATGAAATAATCAACTGGTGATGAATGTGATATACCACATATTTAAGAGGAGCATAAACAAAATCAAAAGTGACACAAACATACACATGAATACTGCTTACTTTCGATTGTTGTTGATTTTTATTATCCATAGTGCCTTGTTCTTTGGATTTTTCCTCAGATAGCCGTTCAGTATTATAATCCTCTTTTATATCTTCTCTAGTTGTTGATTGTTGATTCATAGGCATCGAATGTGAGAAACGCATTGTTCCCTGTGATGTACTGTTCATAGAGAACTGTTGTGATTGTTGTTGCTGCTGCTGCAATTGCTGTTGATAGTGACGATCATTTCCAAAGGAATTTTCACGTGAACGAGTAAGACTACTATTATTTCTTGAGTTTACAGCACCTGTTGTCTGAAATATGTAGAAAAAGTGTGTTTATTAATTTTAAATATAACTTTAGTGGGAGTGATGACTGAAGACAAATAGCCTACCTCCTCCCTGGTGGGAGACCTGAGAACCATAGGTTTACAGTTTTCAGATTAACTTCGCCAATGATTATTATTATTTCCTTTAATTCCTAGAGGAACATAGGACTTCAACCGCGCGTCTACACTGCGTTCAGTTCTCTGCTAGAGCTTTCACCTGGCTCCAAGTCTGTCCACACGCTTTCATCTCCTCTTCACATTATCTCCTTCAAGTCACCCTCACACTGCACTAACGACCAACTCGCCGCTTCCCTTCCGGGTTCCACTCGAGTGATGGCCTGTCGTGTGATGTCACTTGATGTTTTGTTTCCTCACAGTATGGTCAATCCATCTCCATTTCTTCTTGCCTATTTGTTGTACAATCGATTGCCTCCTGGTTGGTTCGCTCATTGCCAGAGATCCCTGTTGCTGATCTTTCTGGCCGGCCATGTGATCTTGAGCGAAATATTGAGCGAAGACAGTTGTTAATGAAGGTCTGAAGTTTGTTGAGATGCTCTTTATGACGCACCAAGTCTTTGATCCGTACAGTAGCGCTGAATCACTTGACATTGGAGTTGAAAATCCGCATCTTATTTTTCATGCTGTGTTCTGTTGACCTCCACATAAACTTGATAGTAATGAAAGCTTGTCTTGCTTTTCCGATTCTGGCTTTGATATCCTCGTCAGTTCCACCTGTAGTGTAGGTAAGTGATATTGCTTCTTTCAGATTTACTTTGTGCCATTTATGCTTATTGTTGTCTGTTGTTGTTGCTGTTGGTGTTGGCCAGGAATCTTCATTGCCTCTGTTTTCTCTGTTTTCACCTGAAGTCCAGTCAATTGGTTCTTTTACATGGTTCAGGAAATTAACGCATGTGTCACCAAAAGCATGTACAACAACTTACTGCAGACCTCTAGCAACAGCTATTTTCGCTAGCTCGATACTGAAGATCACATGGATTGCCAGGGATAATAGGCAACAAGAAACTCTACCGATGAATCGACCATGAACCTATCGCCCAACATATATATGGAGAAGGTAATGGATTAAACATACGCTGAAGAAACCATTGAGTGGCCTCACATTCTAGGCCCTCGAGTAAAACCCGAAAGGGAAATTATGCGTCTGACATCCGATGGTGAAACGCAGGAGATCATTTGAAGAGAAAATGAAAGTTTACGGGAAATCATAAAGCCAGTTAAAACAGACTGAAAAGAACAGAGTGCAATTGAGATGTGTTTCTGTAGCCCTATAGTCTACTCAGAACCCAAGGGAATAATAAAAATAATTCCGTAAGTTCGGAACAATGGGAAGTTGAAGGTGAAGTAAATTTGTCTGTGGTGATACATGAAGAAAGGTTGGAGCACAACAAGGAAGAAGGCTAGTATTTGGAAAGGCTCGGATGACTGCCACTTTTAGCTCTTGGTCTGGTATGAACACCTTGTGGGCTTTTTAAAAATATTACGATTACTGTTGAGTTCATATAAAGACTATTACCTTTAGGTACTGATGGTTGGAGAGTACATCGGAGTACACAGTCTTTTGGTTCTACTTCTGTAGTTGCCCTCATTCAGAGTCAGACTGCATCAAATAGTTCATCCAAGGGAAAAACTTTGCTGGACCGAGAATCCTTCTGTCAACAGCACAACTTTATCACTAAAAACACACACTGTAGTGCAACGTACTTTACACTATGAAGGTAAACTATTCACTCTTAGCTCAATATCTAACCGACCTTTCTGGAATGGTAGGATTTTCAATCATATAAAGCATATCGGACTAGTGATAAATGCAATATCGACCACTACGTCAAAGTAGCAATGATCTATCAGCATCTGGTGTATTTCCGTTAACCGTAGAGAATCTCTTTTTACACTTCTGACTACACAGGACCTAAGGGTGGGGGGGGGGGGATTAAACAGTTCTATCTTGACTTTCAAGTTATGAATCACAATTACCAAACACGATCTGATAAGACTAGAGTTAATTAAATATTACAAAGAAACCATAAATTCCCACAGATAATTAACCGCCGCATACTATAGAATCTATTACTAATATAATCTGAAAGTTAACTGTTGAGTGACTGAAGCCAACATTGGTATATTGGTCATAAGCTATTCACAGTTACTTCAGTATTTACCATTAAAAACCATTAGTTTGCCGTTATGGCTTCACAAAGCACGTAAATCCGAATCCTTATTCTTGAAAAAAACGAGCCGTCTAACCATCGTTATGTGTGACGCATAGCAAAGTACATCACTTATTACACAACATGCTGCTATCACTTTCTTGTTTCATTATTGTAGACAAATACAACTTTCGTAATTACTTGTCTGGTGATGACCTTCAGTAGAATCTAGGGTGCGTGTTTCGTCCTGCTTCAGACTAGTCATCTGGATGTACCCACTTCCCAGTGAGTGATTATGTTTCCATTGACACTCAAATTCCATACTCATCGCACGTCCTGGATGCTATTGTGGTGAGACCTGTCTGTAAGCCACAAGAATTGTAGACAGCAATTTACGTCAACTTTTACGTCCCGAATCAAGGTCATGAGGAAAAATACAATAACAAAGCTTAACCTTGAGCAACTCACCAACCAATCACAGCAGACTTAATGTGTGCAAATATGATTCGCAGATATATGGCTTAACTTTCTGAGAATCGCTAACAAGCAGTACAGAATAACCTCCGACAAGAAAGCAACCAATCAGAAGACGTTGTTTCTCCGCTAACACTAATGTACACAAAAATCTATGAATACCTGTTGATTCTCTCAATAGACAATCTGTTACCTGACCGTTGTCTTCTGCCGTTAGACTATTACTGGCCAGCATTAAACAAATAACATAGATATATCAACCCAAAATAATTATATCGATTTATCTGTTTGGGAAGTCTCTGTGTCAAAATGAGGTTGATCAGTTCGATCGTGATATTTCAAGCAAGAAATCACAGATAATGAATAAATACCAGTATATATGTATAAATTAAAGCCATATATCTCTGAATTTTGGCTTATAATTGTATAAGTAGTTTTAGATTGCATGATTACGATTCATGGGATGTTTAATGGTCGACAGATAACTGGATACTTTCAGTTAGACAACGCTATAAACTACTGAACGCAATAATATAAGTGTTGGATCAGAGTCCTGTGATCTACAACATTGAGAACATTTTAATTTTTGTCTAATGGTTCACTCTTTTGTCACATTTATTTCACTCGCTTTCCTCCTTGTCTTAGTCTTGATTTGTTTCACAAACCAATATCAGATGGAAAATAACTTCGGGGTAGAAGGATTCTCCGACTAGTTGTTTTGTTCCGGTTGCTGTGACACTCTTCAACAATGTGCACCTTTGAAGTGTAGCCAGATGAGCTAACGGATTTCTAGACAAGAATTTTGTTATTTTCTTAGTATGGAGGGTGGAGAAGCTAGATGGAGAAAGTTACAGAGTGGATGCTTGTGTGTCTAAACCTAACGATCGCTGATAGTTACGGCAGTATGGTGTTCTTCGAGGGTAATAAACACCTACAATTAGGAGTCACATAAAAAGGTCAACCCATACACAGTATAACCATTATATAACCTTATATGTATTTCACTGTAGGCAGATAGGATTTCCCAACTTTTTTCGTTTCGATTCTGTCTGTCTGTCTGTTTTCGACATAGAACTTTGCACAAATGTGCGGAAGTTCAAGTCGCCACACTCCGTGTAGCACGCGAAGCAAGGGAAGAAAGTATAAGAAAAGCATAATAGAAACAGTGAGCAGAGGGGTGAGACAAAGGAGTAATAACGAAGAACAAAACAGTTTCATTGCAGATCATAAGTCACAAGGAGTGGATGCATCTGCGCCACAGAGAACGATTTTGAGCCATGTCACCAATTGTTTCCAACCATAGATTTTTACCGTCCCGAGGACCCCAGCCTGGAAGTCTACACCTTCCTACGTGGCTTAGACCAACTGTTGTGGATTTCATTGACTGGTGAAGCCAAGTTTTTGTTTGACCGCCGCTAGCTTTTTTCCAGCCTGACCCTATATCCGCTAACATTGCTCGTCGAGGGAGGCGATGGCTTGACATACGTAACACATGTCCTAACCATCTCAGTCTTTGTAACTTCACGACTTCGTCGATTGATTTCCCCTGTTTACCTAGAACTCTACGCCTAACCTCAATGTTGCTCACCTTATTATGCCACTTTACACGGGAAATAGAGCGCAGGCACCTATCATCAAAGACAGCTAATCTTTTCATGTCTTCCACTCTCAGTGGCCAGGTCTCACGACCGTAAAGGAGGACGGAGCGGACTGATGAGCAGTACACCCGTCCTTTGGTTGATAGTCGAACATCTCGTCTACGCCAGAGACGGCGTAAACTGGCAAATGCGAAACGCGCCCCCTGTATTCGTGCTGAGATTTCGTCAGAGATCAACCCGTTGACACTGGCTGATGGTACTTCCCAAATAAGTGAAGCGGTCAACGTGCTCTACCACTTCACTTCCTATTTTTAAACTAGGAGTCAGTGTAGTCCAGTCCTGTAACATCATCTTGCATTTGGCGGGAGCAAATCGCATGCCAAACATTCGTAGATTGCGGCTCAGTGTGTTCAGAAGACTCAGCATTTTGTCAGCGTCTTCGCCTAGAAGGACTATATCGTCTGCATATTCTAAGTCAACGAGATTATTCCCCGGTAGCAAGTAAATCCCTGAGTCGCTTAAGTCACCTAGGGTTAAGTCCATTAACACATCTATGATAAAGTTGAATAGAAAAGGAGATAATGGGCATCCTTGACGGACACCACTGGTCGTCATCAGTTCAGATGACAGCTCGCCGTAAGCCCTCACCTCGTTTCGATAGAGAAAGAAAGACCAGATTTGCAGTATAAAATGATATCATTCTATTTCACAGGTTCTCATCAGCTGCAAACTACCTGGAATTACAATGGTTAGAAATAATAACATTTCATACTTCGTATAGAGGATTTCACCATGAGCTGACATCAGTTAGAGAACCACTGGAAAACCTGGGAATACTGGACAGCTGTTTCGTCCTAGTTTGGGACTGTTCACAGTACGCACCCACCAGGGTTCGAACCAAGGACCTTCTGGTTACAAGGCGAGCGCGTAGACCATTGAGCCACTGGGTCCCGATCCAATGGTTCTTGAATTCTAACTTCTGCCAGTTCACGACCAATACTTGAAAATTTCATACTTCATTGTTTGAAAGGTAATAGAGAAAACATTATTTGGTGAACGCATCTGGAATGTAAGTATTACAATTTATAGTTTAAGTTACCATCAATTTATATACTATCAAACTATGAAAAAAGAAAAAAAGGGGGGAGGGGTTGAGAGAAGACAGAAAACAGAAAAATCTAATAAACAGTGTCAACATGGCAAGTCAAGAAGGTCAAAGTTCATCAATTTGAAAACTTTCTTAGTGAGTAAAGCTCACCAGTGTGTATGACTAATCAGTGTAATGAAAGTCGAGATTGTCGAGATTTCTAAATCCTTCAAAATATTGAACATACAAAGGACTGCGAATCTACTACGATTTACTGCTGAAGCAATTGCAATCAAACGTCTCAGACCGAACTTATGCACACAGAAAGAGAGTGTAGTCAATCTCTCACTCCCTTGGTGTAACCATATCACTTTCATTACACTGATAAGTCATACACACTGGTGAGCTTTACTCACTAAGAAAGTTTTCAAATTGATGAACTTTGACCTTCTTGACTTGCCATGTTGACACTGTTTATTAGATTTTTCTGTTTTCTGTCTTCTCTCACTCCCCCCTTTTTTTTCTTTTTCATAGTTTGATAGTATATAAATTGATGGTAACTTAAACTATAAATTGTAATACTTACATTCCAGATGCGTTCACCAAATAATGTTTTCTCTATTACCTTTCAAACAATGAAGTATGAAATGTTATTATTTATAACCATTGTAATTTCAGGTAGTTTGCAGTTAGCTGATGGTGAGAACCTGTGAAATAGAATGATGGCATCATTTTGTACTGCAAATCTGGTCTTTCTTTCTCTATCGAAATTTATCAAGGGAACCACCAAATGTATGAAATTTTTTCGTTTCAATCGCAAACACTGAAATTTCGTCAGCATTGTTTATCGTAACGTTGACTTCCACCCACTCCAGTAGGCTGATGGGATGTTTACAGACTTGATCAATCACATCGGTGAACAATCGTTTGCGTATCCAGAATTTCAAAATAACACTGATTGAAACGTGGGATGACAATTAACAGTGTTGTTATTATTGTAATCACACCGAATGCTGTAAAATTAGTATTAGGAAAGGTATGAAATGAATGCCCAGCCCGGAGCCAGTTAAGCAACAATGGTAATGTGTTACATACAACTTTAATGTGCAGATTGGTCACAATGCCTAACTGTCTATATCTTGGTGCATGTGAGAACAAATGTATTAAACCTTGTTAGAAACTTACTTTATCATTGAATGGAGTTGAAGTATTAGTTGCACCACCGGTACTGTGTTCCGAAGTACCAGAAACTGTACGTGAACGTGATTGTATCTATAAAAAAAGAAAGAAAACTTTAACAAAGAAAGCAAATTTGTTGTTATTTTGTAAGGGCTTGCGGAGATTCGGTGGATTACTTTACATATTTATCTACATCAGCAAAAAGGAAGGCGGGAAAAGCTGATTTCTTTTAGTTTTAAACTTTAAAAAAGTCTCCAGCCTTCAAACCGTCGGGGATCGATGTAGGGAATAAGAAAATATGAAACAAGCGGTGATCAGAACGTCCATCAAATCATTTGTGGAGACAGTTAGCCAAACAACTTTGAAGAATACTTTGATTGGACACCAGTTAGTAACTAGTGTGATGTGCCTAGTCCTTTCTTTATGCAGACTGAATTCGATCGGTCAGGTTTGTAATGTGGCCACCATTCTAAGTAGCTCACCGTCACAGTGCCCATTGATTTGATGATATTACATGGTTGGAGGCAATCAGCAATCGGGAAGCCTTTCCTGAACTAGGTTTCCTGCTAGTTGGCACTCACCAGTCAGCAAGGCATATCTGCAGCCTTGACTGATGGAATTCAGTTCGCACCAAACAAAGGAGTAGACACATCGCACTAGTTACTAGTGTCCAATCAAAATATTCACTACAGTCCTACAGGAGGTCAATCGCAAGCCCCAATAGCTCAGTAGTAACGTCTCTGACTGCACCACTGGGTGGTGCGGGTTCGAAGTTCAGAAGGGACATGAGTTCCTTCAAGGTTTCAGATACGAAACCTAGGTGTCCAAGGCTTCCTGTGGCCGATTGCCTCCAACCATCTAATACTTTGAAGAATGCTACATCACTAAGTGACGGAAATGGAATGACTTACAGGCGAAAACCAACAAACTGGCAAAAGAAGCAGTAAAGACAGGACTTCAAGTGAACATAGGAGAAGATGGAGATGATGAAGACAACCAACCAACCAGCCACAACAACAACAAGGACCAATCATAATCAACGGGAGAAATTCGAATAGGGTCACTTCCTTCACCTATCTAGAGAGCATCATTTCAACTAAAGGCATACAGTATGGATGAGGATGTCAAAACCAGAATCGAAAAAGTAAGACAGACCTTCAACAGTCTGAAATCTTCTGTACTTAAATTAAAGAACAAAGTTCGGATTCTTAATACCAATATCAATTCAGTTGCTTCTTCTATATGGGTCAGAAACTTGGCTATAGCGTCACGAAGAGCATTCCAAACAGGCCACTGCAGCTGTCCAGTTCGCTGACTCCATACTGAAGACCATATGTCCAGTGGAAAGAATGAGCAACAAGAAGCTCTGGGAATGAACCAAATAAGAAAATATCGCTCAACAAATATTCCGATAGAAAAGAAGATGGGTCGGACACGCGTTGAAAAGACCGTCGAATGACATCGCGCACAATGTAGGCCAGCGCTCGAATGGACCCCGAGTGGGAAACATGGTGGAGATCGTGTGAAGAGGAGATGAGAGACTATTGGGGGGAATAGTGGCGCCAACTGAAGAGGACCACAGGGGACAGGACAAGACGGAGATCTACTGTTGAAGTCCCCCCCCCCTATGTTTCACTTAGAACCCAAGAGAACAATAATAACTCAGAACAAAAGATAGTTTCTACACAGTTTTTTTTTAAACTTGCGATGAAATCTATCCTCGTGAAAGGAAACAAATTAACTAACCGTACAGGATAATAGAAAGAGATGAGAAGAAGGCAATCAACTTACACTTTGAATATTTGCAAAATAATCAAATCCTTGTTGAGTATTACCAGTAGATGAAATATCTGTCTGTGAATCTGTATGAGGTATAGGAGTAAAGAAAGTATTATTTCCACTAGCTGGTTGATAATTAGTATTATTATATGAACTAGGAAGAGTAGAATGATGTTGTGGTGAATATGAAGTTGAATTTAACTTTCTTAAATTATCATTATCATTATTATCATCATCAGCGTAAGCATGTGATGATTGTGCAGTTGAAGGGTAACGATTACTCGGTGATGAAGATGACAGAGATTTTGGTAAATGTAGTGATGAGGAATCATACACTGCACCAGATGTAAATTCAAAATGACGTTGAGTATTTGACACTGGAGGGGAATATTGTTGTTGCTGTTGTTGTTGGTGGTGGTGGTGAGGCGGCTGCTGCTGTTGGTGGTGTTGGTGTTGTTGTTGTACAAACGTATTAGGTGATTGTTTCGTAGACATTTGATGACCAGACGATATCTAAAGTAATTCAAAAATACATTTATTATTATCGTGAGAAGTACTTTGGAAACAACTCGAGTACTACGGCGTACCACAAATATTCATCAATCTTATTGAACAGCTAGCTGTACGACAACGGCACATGTCAAGTGACCAAAGGAAAAATCAGCGAGGCGCTTGGAGTAAACACAGGAGTCAGACATGGGTGCTTATTATCACCAATGATATTCCAAATTCTGGTGGACTAACTGGATTATGAGTCAGACAGTGAGAAACGAGAAGACAAAATCGAAAACTTACAAACGAAAACTGAGAAACTGGTCGAAGAAGCAGCCGGCGTAGACAGGACTCAAGGTGAACATAGACAAGACGGAGGTTATGAAAAAAACCAACCAACAACAACAACAGCAACATCCAGTCCCAATCACCAGCGCATAGGTGCCTGCGCTCTATTTCCCGTGTAAGTGCATAATAAGGTGAGCAACATTGAGGTTAGGCGTAGAGTTCTAGGTAAACAGGGAAATCAATCGACGAAGTCGTGAAGTTACAAAGACTGAGATGGTTAGGACATGTGTTACGTATGCCAAGCCATCGCCTCCTCGACGAGCAATGTTAGCAGATATAGGGTCAGGCTGGAAAAAATCTAGCGGCGGTCAAACAAAAACTTGGCATCAGTCAATGAAATCCACAACAGTTGGTCTAAGCCACGTAGAAAGGTGTAGACTTCCAGGCTGGGGTCCTCGGGACGGTAAAAAATCTATGGTTGGAAACAATTGGTGACATGGCTCAAAATCGTTCTCCGTGGCAAGCGCAGATGCATCCACTCCTTGTGAATTATGATCTGCAATGAAACTGTTTTGTTTTTCTTTATTACTCCTTTGTCTCACACCTCTGCTCACTGTTTCTATTATTCTTTTCTTGTACTTTCTTCTCTTGCTTCGCGTGCTACACGAGTGTGGCAACTTGAACTTCCGCACATTTGTGCAAAGTTCTATGTCGAAAACAGACAGACAGACATCAACGAGAGAGATTTGAAGGAGGTTACTTCATTCACTCACTGATCTAGGGAGCATTGTCTCAACTACAGACAGTCGGAACGGACGAGGATGTGAAATCGAGCGAGAATCGGAAAGGCGAGAAACACATTCATCAACCAACCTGAAACCAATCTGGAAATCTTCGTCACTCAGCCAGCATCAACAACAAAATTCGGTCCGATTTTCAATACAAACAACGTCAAGTCAGTCAGCTCTTCTACACGGATCAAACAGAAACTTGGCGAGCGGGTCACAAAGAATATTTCCAACAGCCTGTTGAAGACCTTTACTAACCAACAACTGTCTTCGCTGGCTCTATACTGAAGATAAGATGGCTGGGCCGGAAAGAATCACCAACAAGAAATTATGGCTGGAAACAAACAAAACAAGAACCAATCGCCACCCAACAAATATGCAGGAGAAAGTGGAGATGGATTGGACACTCGCGGCTGAGGAGGCCGGTCGCTGGGTGACATCGCGCGCGCGTCAGGTCATTTCTCGAGTGGAACCAGGCCGAAAGGGAAGCGGCGAGTGGGACGTCGGTGAAAGGGTGACATGGAGGAGATAGTGTGAAGAGAGAGAAGTTGAAAGAGTATGGACTAACTAACATGGATGCAGGTGAAAAGTACAGCAGAAAGAAGACAGAAGTTTATTTAATACCCTGCCTGCAATGATTACCAGGTCAAACTAGTAGAACAGGGGCAGTCAGACTGGCCGAACATAAAAATCTAGAAAAATCTAGACTGGTTGACCCGAATAAGATAAGAAATCTAGAGAATAGTTCAGGTATAGCACTCACCACATGGAATTACACACAACCATACACTGGGATGGGATAATATGACAGTTTCGAAGTCTAATGTCACAGAGTGGAGGGAAAGATTGATAACGGAAGCTTTGTTTATCGAATCAACTGCAAATACATGTAAGAGGAATGATTCAACACCTGTCTCAGATATCTGGAAAATTCTACTACCCCTACGACGACAAATAGGAGAGGACAAAGAAAACTATAAATAACTATATAAAGTTTCAAAGTCGTGTGATTACAATTGATACGATTATGAACAGTAATAAATTGTGTTCGAAACGTCATCCAGTAAATATTACTGTTTCGCTGTGTGATACATTCAATAAACAAACTAATATGGAATGTAACTTATTGGTTTAAGTGCTCGATGATTTGCAGTTACTGGAATCACGGGTTCGAGTCAAGCTCCACTAGCCGAGGTTTCAGCAGCTACATGGTATCATTAGCTCTTTCTCTCTCACACAATAGGTGTGGCATGTTGGCAACTGCAAGGAAATGCAAATGGTTGTTCAAGGACGCACATATTCACTCTCTCCCTCTCTCTTTCACTGAACACTAACTAATCATCTTATTTAAATTATTTATTTAAACGCAGGAAAAACTTTGTACAATATGGCACCAAGAAAGATGCGCCACACTTTGTGCGCCCAGAATGAAGCAGGTGGTTTTCTTAAGGGACTACCCCCCCTCAAGCCTTTGACTTGGAGTCTAATCCGCAAGGCAGCGGAGCAGCGTCAGGAACTGCATTCCCATGGTTGACGGTGACCATATGGGTTCATACACGCCATTTGATCCCATTGGATTCTGGAGCCCATGTACCCCATGGTAACTGCTTTTAGTTTAACCGCTATCCAAACAACCTTCCTGACATGGTAGGACCTACAGGGAAGTGAGTCTCAGCCAGTTTAGCTTGTTGGGTCACTGCGGTATTCAAGCCCGAACACCACGACAAGGCAGTATCCTCATTTATTTTTGTCGTATTTACTGCAAGAATTAGAATGGGGAGACTTGTATAAAAAAAGGGAGTTTAAACATGATTGGATGTTTTTACAACAGAATGTATAAGATACTTTATCAGGGAATTTATTCTCCTAACTTTATAAACTTTTAATCATACTAAAAAGTAGTGGTAGCAATGTAGTCGTACTAACCTGTTGATGAGGGGTGAAAGGCTGATTAAAAGAAGAACTGCTCGGGTTCAACTCATTTTCACGTCCAGCCTGCAGCTTCATCTCGACATCTTTACTTCTTACAGATGATGATGGAAATAAAGAGGGTGCTGTACTGCGTTCATTATTATTTAAAGCAGGCATACTGTCTCTTGATATTTGCTTTGCTTGATGATAGCCGTAAGATTCATTTCTTTGTGCATTATTATCACGGTTATACGGATCACCACCACCACCACCACCAATGGTGTTCTGATAATTCGGTTTTTGATATTCAGCAGAAGATGTATGCTCGAATCCTTTACTTGAATAATTATAATAATTACTATCACGATTTAACGCATGCCCCGTGTTTACGGCACTAGTAGCATCACTGGGGAGATGATGGGGAGATGACAACGCATTGTCTTCATTTCTTTGTGCAACAGGATAAGATTGAAAATCAGCTGGTCGGTAATGCGGATGGTTTATCTATTAAAAACAAAAACAAACAAAAAAACAGAAATAGGCAAATCAGTTGGCAACAGTGAATGATTCACAAATAGATAAAAGTATAAATAAGCATGTCAAAAAAGAAAACATAGTCACATAAACAAAAGTTTTTAAATAACAACATTAAATTAATGAAATGAAAGGTGAAAGATGATCGATCACATTATATAGAGTGCACATGATTAGTCTAACCTGGGTCAAGTTAAACTTTAAGCACCACTAACAACTACCAATCAGCGAACGACGTCGAATTATCCAATGAGATTCACGAACGTTAGTTCAATGTTGTATAGTGCTTGATTCATTTCTAATGCGTGCCCTAATAAGGTTACTGTTGCAATTCGAGGAGAATAGTGTTTTCCAGTATTGCCTGGATTTAGGGTTGCTCCGGAAGGAGAGAACTTATTCGTGTGGTGGTCTCATGACTTAAAAAAAGCTTTAGCAGGTCAACTGATGGATTTGTCCATCGTTGTGCAATAAGCTTGAAGCGAGTTAGCATTAGAAAGGGTAAGCTGATGATTTTAATATTTCGTAGGAACTATATTTGCAAGGTCACACCTCTCGTTGACGCAAATTTTGTATATCTGCAACTACTGGGTCTTGAAACAGCCAGTGAGAGCTACAGATGACGGGACGGAGAATAGCCTAGTCTCAACAGTTCAGTAGTATCAGCATTGTAGAGATACGTCTTCCTGGAAAATGGAGAAAATCAATTCTTTGTTGGGTGGAGAAGACATTGTCGTGCACGTCGATGAAAATGTGTTGGTGAAAAAGAAATACAACCGTGGTCGCCAGCGAGCGAACAATATTTGGGTAATAGGTTTGTATGACACCTCCCTCCGAAAGGGATTCGTTGAAAGGATAACAGACAGAAAAGCAACTACTTTAATACCTATTGTTGCCAGACCTAAAAACGAGGATCTATAATACATACGGATGAGTGGACAGGTTACAATTCTCTGTTACCTCTGGGATATATTCATCATACAATCAACCATTCAAGTGATTCTGTCGATCCTGTTACGAGGACACATAAAAATTCTATTGAAGGATTTTGGGGCAGGTTGAAAAATAGGATAAGGGCTATAAATGGATCTTAAAAGGATCTCATTTATAGTCATTTAGATGAATATATGTACAGAGTGTGGTGTAACTTTTCTATTCACAGTCCGATGCTTAACTGGGAGATGTTTATCACACATGTTAGGAAAAGATACCCCCTGTAACAGTTTTATGCTTTAGTTTTATGCTTTTTTTCTATAAATATACATTTCCATTTATCATATATAGCCTCTTTAATGTGATTGGTCCGTTCTAGATCGTTTGCTGATTGGTTGTCAGTGGTGTCGAAAGTTTAACTTTGCCCTAACCTCAAAAGGTAACTCAGTGTGTTGGGGATTTACAGGGATTTGATTGACTACAGGCTGGATTACGAGTTGACAGCAGTAAAACAGAAACACTGGAAAACCACCAGGGAGTACTGGACACCTATTTCCTCGTGGTTAGGGTCTCTTCAGAAACATGCACCCACTAAGTAAGGCTTGAGGAAAGTTACTCGCATATGAACATTGGCTAACAGTTGCACCATGTATTGCCAACTGGCACAAGTTAGAATTCATGGGTTATTGGATCAGGTCCCAATGGCTGAATGGTTTACGAGCCAACTCATCAAGTAATCGGAAGGTTATGGGTTCAAGTCTCGGTGGGTGCGTACTGTTGAAGAGTTCCAAACAAGGACAAAACAGCTGTCTAATGTTTCGCTAACTGATGTTAGCTCATCATCAAACTTGTGATCACTGCAACACCAACTACACCTTATACAAATGTTTTATAAGTCGCCCCTTACAAGAGACAAGAAATGCATGGGACCTCGGAATAATATATGTAGAGGTCGCGTACCAGGACCTCAGGTGGAACCCGACTGTCTGTCTGTCTGTTTTCGACATAGAACTTTGCACAAATGTGCGGAAGTTCAAGTCGCCACACTCCGTGTAGCACGCGAAGCAAGAGAAGAAAGTACAAGAAAAGCATAATAGAAACAGTGAGCAGAGGTGTGAGACAAAGGAGTAATAAAGAAATACAAAACAGTTTCATTGAAGATCATAAGTCACAGGGAGTGGATGCATCTGCGCCACTGAGAACGGTTTTGAGCCATGTCACCAATTGTTTCCAACCATAGATTTTTACCGTCCCGAGGACCCCAGCTTGGAAGTCTACACCTTTCTACGTGGCTTAGACCAACTGTTGTGGATTTCATTGACTGGTGAAGCCAAGTTTTTGTTTGACCGCCGCTAGCTTTTTCCAGCCTGACCCTATATCCGCTAACATTGCTCGTCGAGGGAGGTGATGGCTTGGCATACGTAACACATGTCCTAACCATCTCAGTCTTTGTAGCTTCACGACTTCGTCGATTGATTTCCCCTGTTTACCTAGAACTCTACGCCTAACCTCAATGTTGCTCACCTTATTATGCCACCCGACTGAGGAACTAAGAGTTGGATGTGGGTGAAAGGGAGAAGCTCGTGCGAAGAGATGAGACTATAGGCAATCGTGGGACCAGCTTTAATATAGAACCACAGATAACAGGACAACATCGAGACGTGTTGTTGAAGCCATATATTTCACTCGGAACCCAAACGAACAAAAATAAAATAATAATAATAATAACAATAAAAATAAATTAACTGATTCAGTTTCCAACCTAGGACTTTGCACAAAAGTGCAGCAGTTCAAGTTGCTACAATCCCTATACGAACTATACTGAACGGATATCTATGGAAGAAAGAATGAGTAAATAGAGAATAATGACAATTTGATGAATCTAGCACTTCACAAACAGTGAATTCATCAGTTCCACTGAGAAGGAAGTTAAACCACTTGACCAACAGTATGGGGTCTGAGTCCCACTCAACCTACTTCAGCTTGGACAACTGAGTAGTACCACCAGCCGTCATGATACAAATACGGATCCTAGCTAGATACATGATACATGGATAAACCTCAACAACACCGCCAGTATAACTAATTTAAGCTAGTTTTGACATACTGTATTCTCAAGATGAAAATGTCAGATTAAAAATTAACACGTTGGAAAAGAGTTACGGATAGACAAATCAAAAAATGATAGAAACTTATCAAATGACTGTCGGCCTATGCCATATAGGTGTACTTGTAACCTGCCTGGGTTAAGGTCTTTGAAATGCTAGGCATTCAATGAGATGACATTTGATGATAACGGTTATGCCATATGTGGCAAAGTTGAAAATCATAAAACTATTGGACTCCTCCTAAAACAGTGGAAACATGATCTCTTTCGAAATTTGTTTATCTATATTGATCGGTCTCTGGGTCATGAGGTAGAACACTCTGACGGATAAAACTATTATCGCTGAGTACAGAGATTTAAAAACTGAATGCATTAAATAGTGTGTAGTAACGCCAACCACAATCAATGGGAGGGATTTAAAGGAGGTTACTTTATTCACTCACTGATCTAGGGAGCATTGTCTCAACTACAGACAGTCGGAACGGACGAGGATGTGAAATCGAGCGAGAATCGGAAAGGCGAGAAACACATTCATCAACCAACCTGAAACCAATCTGGAAATCTTCGTCACTCAGCCAGCATCAACAACAAAATTCGGTCCGATTTTCAATACAAACAACGTCAAGTCAGTCAGCTCTTCTACACGGATCAAACAGAAACTTGGCGAGCGGGTCACAAAGAATATTTCCAACAGCCTGTTGAAGACCTTTACTAACCAACAACTGTCTTCGCTGGCTCTATACTGAAGATAAGATGGCTGGGCCGGAAAGAATCACCAACAAGAAATTATGGCTGGAAACAAACAAAACAAGAACCAATCGCCACCCGACAAATATGCAGGAGAAAGTGGAGATGGATTGGACACTCGCGGCTGAGGAGGCCGCTGGGTGACATCGCGCGCGCGCGTCAGGCCATTGCTCCAGTTGAACCCGAAAGCGAAGAGGTGAGTGGGTCGTCAGTGCGAGGGTGACATGGAGGAGATCGTGTGAAGAGAGAGAAGTTGAAAGAGTATGGACTAACTAACATGGATGCAGGTGAAAAGTACAGCAGAAGGAAGACAGAAGCAAGTGGAGACGTGCAGTTGAAGCCCTATTTTCCACTAGGAATCCAAGGGAACAATAATAATAATGAAAATATGAGTTAAATAACCAAAAACAAAAAACAACGCCAAAATATACCTTGATATTCATTTGTTCATAAATTTGATTTAATCTTCCTATCCAATTTTTATTTTTTATTCATATGCGAAATCTGTGGCATACTCATCAGCGCAAATCCAAAACCACGATCCATTTGATCATTATTCAACTGGACATCGAAACTATCAATTTCTGGGTGATGTTGTAATGGTTCAGCTAGTCGTAAACAATTACTCATTAAACTGTACAACACAGGATTGACAAATCCATCATCCGACCTATTATTCATGCTTGAATAGTATTCGTCATAGTCTAAAATAAGTTCATTTCCAATTGCTGTTAAATAACGATAAGCTTTTTCGACTAAACCAGCGTCTAAAAGTCGAATAGCATAAACGAGACGGAAAGGCTGGAAAAAAGATTGAAGAGAAGAACAAATTAATGCGATGTTGTTTTATTACAATCAAACGACAGTAAAAATTAAGTTAACAAGTTATAGAAATATCCTGGTTGACATACATATATGCCTATAAAATGTTTGTGACTGATGGAAGCTAGCGTCATTTTATTCTTCAGGCGTTTGTCGAAACGTCAGTACGTCAATGTAGCAACAGACGACAAGGGCTAGGCAACAGATCCTTTATTGAGCAAATCAACAAATTCCATTATGGGCAAATTTTTGTTTTCATAAAGTCTCATAGTGTTATATATGATTATGAGCAATAAATTGTGCTCGAAACGTCATCAGTAAACATTACTGTATAACACTGTAAGACTTTATCAAAACAAAAATTCACCCATAATGGAATTATACTCTACCACAGTGCACAAGTTTTATTCTTATATCAAATCAACAAATATTTATACTTTTTTATGTACATTATTGTTAGCGATATTTTTAGTGGAGAAGCAACGTCTTTTGATTGGTTGTTTCCTAGCTGACGATTACTCTGTACTGCTTATGACCGTTTTTCAAAAGTTAAACCATATATCTGCGAATCGTTGTGATTGGTTGGTTAAGCTTTGTTATGGTTTTTCCTCATGACCCTGATTCGGGACGTAATATTGACGTAAATTGCTGTCTACAATTTTCGACTTGCAGACAGGTCTTGTCACACTAGGAGCCGACATATCAACGAAGACGGAGTATTTCACTCTAATACAAACCAATCAACAGGAAAAACAAAATAATTTTAAAAATAATATCCCATATATATATATATATATATATATATATATATATATATATATATATATGCAAGCCATTCGGGGAAAATTTATCCAAAAAGACAAATGGTGTGGCTATGGGTTCCACTAGTTCCCGCAATAGTCACTAATCTTTTCATGAATATGTTTGAAGATGGCATCTTTTCAAGCGTATTGACATACACACACACACTTAAAATCAGGCCAAGATATGTTGTTTTACTAAAACAAGACCTACACAGTTCGCATTCATCGAGAAAGTGAACACTCAATCTCCCAGCATTCAGCTGAATTCGAAGCAGAGTTAACTTCGGTGAATCAACTTTTCTAGACTGCTTAGTTAAGAAGAAAGAAAACGGATATTTTAATACATTTATATTCGGGAAGAAAAAACACTCCAACAAATACACTTCAATACCAAAATCAACACCTGCATTAAACGTGTTCGAAAACGCATTCCCAAGACATGCACCTCAACAGTTGTCATTCCATATAGAAACGTCAGACGATATCAAAAGAGCACTGAATAAACACATCATTGTGTTTCTCAATATCAGACACACTACAAAGCAATCTTGTCCATGTGAAAGACCAAGGGTCACGGCGTAACTGTGTCTATGAAATAAAATGCTTCGAATTGGCTGTAGTATACACGGGAAAAACCTTACGAGAAATCAAGATCAGAAGAGATGAACACCGTAGAGCCTCAATCCAAACACTGAAAAATCTAGTGAAACCGGAAAAGCTTGCAAAATCGTCAGCCATTGGTCTACATGCCATAGAATCAAGTTACAAAATGATTTGGACAATATTAAAATCATCTAGAGAAATTTCACAAATCAAAAGAATGTCTCATATCATCTGAAGCACTCCATATTGAACTGGATCCAAATTGTCTGCAAAGAAATGCAGATTAAGACGGAAATTGACCTGATTCCAACACCCCCACTTCTACTGCCATGAGGTGACGAAATCAACACGAATGTGATAAGCGATTTCTTTATGTAAACATGTGCTGCCTTTATAATTCCATACGCTTGTCAAGTCAGACTCCGTACACTGTTTGGTTATCTTTACCAATTGACCTGCTTGATAACTTAAAAATTACCCGATGCCGAAGAACTGTGACTAAGTTACTGTAAACAAGATGAGGTTTTGTAAATTCTGGTTAATAATACTTTGATGAAACTATTAGCAGTATTAAATAGCAAATCGTCAGTAAACCAAACAATATCGTTTTGCTTTCATTCAGTGGGAAATACAGAAACTTTTATAATAAGTCAAGCATTAGGAAGGTATAAAGTTTTGTCTGCCACCCAATTACTACTCAGTAGTAGGAATAGCTTTTGATCAGCACTCACCGGTTAAACACCTGTGTAACAATAACCCTTTGGTAACGTTTGACGTTTATGTCGTAACTTTTCAGTGTCCTGTTAGGGGAGGATGGTGACAAAATGCAGAGTCTTCTGAACACTTTGAGCAGCAATCTTCGTATGTTTGGCATGCGATTCGCCCCTACAAAATGTAAGATGCTGCTACAGGACTGGACCACGTCAACTCCTAACTTAGTGATAGGGAGTGAAGTGATAGAACATGTTGACCACTTCATCTATTTGGGAAGTTATATTAGCACCAACGGACTGATTGGCGATGAAATCTCAGCACGGATCCGAAAAGCTCGAGCTGCTTTCGCTGACTTACACCATCTCTGGCGTAGGCGTGACATCCGGTTATCAACCAAGGGACGTGTGTACTGCTCAGCAGTTCGCTCCGTCCTTCTCTATGGCTCTGAAACATGGCCAATACGAGTTGAAGACATGAAAAGGTTGGCTGCTTTCGATCATAGATGTCTGCGATCTCTTTCTCACGTTAGGTGGTATAATAAGGTAAGTAATTTTGACGTTAGGCGTAGAGTGTTGGGCAAAGAGGGGAAAATCAATCGACGAGGCTATAAAGTTACATAGACTAAGATGGCTAGGTCACGTGCTGCGCATGCCTAACCACCGCCTCCCCCGACGGGCATTGTTAGCTGATATAGGTGAAGGTCGGAAAAGAGCCAGTGGTGGCCAAACAAAAATATGGCCTCATCAATCATGAAATCCTTGACAGTTAAACTGAGTCAGGTAGGGAGATGCAGACTCCCGGGTTGGGGCCCTCGGGACTGACTCTAGGAATCAATGGCTGGAGACAATAGGTGACATGGCTCAAAATCGTTGTCAATGGCCAGCGCAGATGTATTCAGTCTCTGTAATCTTTCATATTCCTTTCTACCATTACCCATACTGTTTCACTCTTATACTTGTCAGACTGTATTGATTCTCTTCACTCATCTTCTTGTCTACCTCTGTGTGATATTTGGAACGTGGCAAACTCGAACTGGTGCACTTCGGTGCCAAGTTCTATGTTGAATCCAGACAGACAGACAACTTTTCAGTGTGGTGGAATGATTCTGATTAGACTTAGAACTCTAAGAAAACAATGTGAACAGGCTCTACATAATGTTAAGTTAGTAAACGTATTTCGGAACACGATCAAGTCAAGCTAGTCGGAAAAGAAAAGAAGAATATCAGTAGTTTTATCCACAAACAAACATCTTAACTTTGAGGCATTAAGTGCCTTTGTATGACTGCCTCAAATTGATCCACAGAGTTCTACAATATTACACACACAAACTACTGGGTATTTGAGACTTTAAACCAGACCTGTGCATTCAAAAGCAACACATACACTTACTAGCTTCACTATGTCCAGGGTGACATTCTCGCTCGTTACTTTACTTAATTTCACTTTTTGATGTTTAATTTATTTTTAATTATTGGTTTTGTAGAGATTTTGTTTGATTGCATGGAGGATTTCATCATGAGCTAACATCAGTTAGAGAACGACTAGAAAACCACCTGGAATTATTGGACAGCTGTCTCGTCCTAGTTTGGGACTCTTCATCAGTATGCATCCACCGGGGTCCGAACCCAGGACCTTCTGGTTACAAGGTGAGCCACTGGGACCCGATCCAATGGTCCTTGAATTCTAACTTTTCCCAATTCAGGATATAACGCGAACATTTTGCAATATCTGCTTCGATGAGTTACTGCCTCATCATCTTCAACCTGCTGTACCCTATTGTTGTCGTTTACTCATAACACTGTTCTCCTCAAACATATTTCCACTATTTTGTCCACTTGGTACATTCATCAGATAGAGATAGTCATCTTTGCAGTTATTACGTAATGCTGGCTTTTATTTCTTAATCCCCACCTGAGTATTCCCTTTCAGACTATTCCTTACATTACGTAAAGCATTTTCTAGAAAATGATCACCAGTATTTGATCAATTTTATGAATTCTATGCTGAATGTAAACACCATTGTACGGCTTTTAAAAAGCAATTCATCACAGAGAAAATTTCCTCTGCAAGACACAAATCAGTGAATCAATCGATATGACTGTGAATCATTACCGATTATACATATGGCTGAGATGTTTTACATGTGCTGAGTAACTAACCTCCTAGAAGAGCATAATTAGATGAAGTAAAATCAACCTGGGAAGAAGTCAAGGATAGTCATATCAAAATATATTCTTCACGGTGTTTACAAGATGCTGAGGAATTTTCGATAATTCCAACTCCCGCCGATTCGTGAACCATTGGGTCGGGGGATACCACTAGTTGAATGGTCTACAAGCTGGCCTTGTAACCGGAGGGTTCTGAATTTGAACCCCAGTGGGTGCGTACTAATGAAGAGTCCCAAACGAGACTGACGAAAGAGCTACCTAGTACTCCCAGGTTTCCCAATGGTCTTCTAACTGATGGCAGCTCATGATCAATCCTGTAAGTCACTTGGTAATTTTTGATATCCTACTGAAGTATCTACAAGCATAAAAAGGTATGCGATTTCTATCACCTTCATTCACCTTGAATTAACCTTTTTTCCCTTGCATACTCCTTTCTTTCTACGCACCTTTTCTACATGACTTTTCGCAGTGATGACAGCGTGAACTTCTCAGAAGAGTTCCACTAGATGATCACCTTTTATGCTTTATCATTAATTTCCAAAGCAAAAACGGTTAGATACACACATCTAAGCAGTCGACTGATGTGGATTTACTATCGATTAAAATATAGAAAAATATATATGAAGATTATATGTTGGTGGCAAGCATAGAGAAACTGGTTAAGATTCAGAGATAGGTACGGAATTGTCTTGAACCACCTGAAATCAATTCACAATATGTACTGTGATAGCTTTTAATGGAAACATTGCTAACTTGATCAAAAGAATTCCGTCAGCACCGAGGGTTAGACGAATTAACACTGGTTGTTTTACAATGAACAATCGATGGTGTTTGCAACACAGTTTTACAGAATATGCTCGGATAGGTTAGTGGTAACATGTCTCAATCTGGCACTGGATCGCATCCGTTAACTTGTAGCCACACAGATGCTATATTGATGAGTGTCAATTTACACGAAAGCCAGGTCTAAGTTTTTATGCTAACTGCTAGTATTGGTGGGTAGTAATCCCCTCCCTCCCCCCAATAAAACGATCTAACAATATGATACCGCTGCTAAGCTCCAAAACGAAACCAACTTAAATCCTTGGAAATACCACGATAGTCACATAATCCTGATCTCTCCCCCTGATTTCCAGATCCATATCAACAAGATAGAATGTTAATGTAAACCGGATATGCGTAACACACACCAGTGGACAGAGATTTACAACTACATCAACTGATTAACACACCTTACCAAACTACTACTCTACAACTAACCTCTATATATATCACAGAGAGACAACGGGCGGTCGAATATACAAAACGCTTGTGAAAGTCAATTCTAGTTGATGCTTTACACGCATACAGTGAGACAACCTCTACACTACGGAGGAATATATTCAATCCCAACCCCCAATAATCAAACATACCCTCAGGGATGTAGCAAGCTGATAGTCCATCAGGGCTGATACAAGCTTCCTAGGTGAAGTGCTTAAGAGGTGGAAGCACTTTTCCGCCATTAATCATACAGACAAGTCCTGAGGAAACAGCCAACTTCAAGAGGATAAGAAATAATCTCAGAATTTCATTTAAAATCTTTATCCCTCCCACCAGCAGTTTTGTCCCGTAAACACAGTGACAACTGATTATTCCATGTCAACCAATAAGCTGCTTGGAAAGATATTATTTCCCGTCTACAAAAGTATGAGTCGGTGGCACAGCGGTTAGGACGCTCACCGGTCATGTACATGGTTTTTGATTACAGCTTGATTCCACACCATATTTTTTGGTACAAGTATGGAATTTTCAGTATGTGACATCGATAGCCCAAATTTTCCAGGCTGGCCATAGGTAGCAGGTGTGCGTCAGTAGAGGCTCGAACCCCGGACTGTGTGCATGGTTGGCGAGAGTCCTAACCACTGTGCCACCGACGCACATGGTCCGGGGTTCGATCCCCGGCCACTGGACGCACTCCTTTACCACGCCAAGTCAGTAATAGAACTGGCAAAGGGGAAGGTTGGGCATGAGGCTAGCAACCCCGTCCTGTAAAAATAAACACTGCTACAGAAACTTCAAAGGTCTAGCTTGAAGCCCTATGTTCCACTGGAAACGTGAAGGAATACAAAAAATCCACAAAAATGTGACAATTAGAAAAGGCAACGATTACAAGATTAGATAATGTTAATTTTAAGCCGCTAAAACCAATTTATCAAAGCTAACATACATGATCGAGACACTTATGCATTAAAAAGATTTACGAGGGAATATACAATTTTAGCCATGATATATTGTGATGCTTAGACTTACCAACAATTGACGCAGTCGGTATTTACGATTAGCCAACTGAATTGCATACTCATATATTTCAGTTAACTGAATCGCTTCTGAAGTAGAAAACAAAGGTGATGCAGGCTGACTTGATCCAACACCAGTGTTATCTGCATTCATATTATCACTGTGAGGAGGTACACCAATCAACCATATTTTAGCAGGTAACCGATATTCTTTTTGATTCAATTCACTTTTATCTGCTTGTTTTAAAGTGTTTGTGAGTAGATAGCAAAGATGTGCTGCATAAATATGCTTTCGAGATAGCAAGCCATCACCGAGGCGTTCAAGAGCCGTAAGTGACAATTCTAATTGAGTTGATTGAGCGGCTAGTATCATTGCTAGATGTGGTCTCCAATCACCGCTATCAGAGCCTGTGATAAATAAGAAGGAGAAACGAGGAATATTTACTCTTTATTAGGAAATTAAGGGAAACGTAATGGAATTTTTCACTATTAGTATGAGTTTGTACGCTGATGATCAATAAGCGTCCAAATATCAGAAATGAAACTCAGATGACATTCAGGTTTTTTACAAATATCGATACACATCATCAACTAACAAGAATCAGACTGACTTATTGGTGTAAGAACTCGACTTTCTGTCAATGCATCCAAGGTTCAAGTACAAATCCATTTATTTCGATCTGGATAACTAAGTAGTATTCATTAGCTCTCATGTAATAAGTGTGTCTCACCGCCTGGTAGGTTCGTACTGCTGAAGAGTCCCAAGCTAGGACGAAACAGCTGTCCAGTACTCCCAGGTCTTCCAATGGTTTTCTAACTAATGTCAGCTCATGATGAAATCCTGTAACCATTAAAACTTTGTTTTGAAATAATCGAGTTCTAACTACTTGTGGAGGCAACTTGGTGGTTATTGATTTGGTGAGTGGAATGGAGCTAATATGCAGATGCTGACAATGCGAGATCTGAGCAATCCTTAAAGAACATCTGAACATGTGTATTGCATTTGTCAAGTGCAAGATTATGCTAGAGTATTGATTTACGCTAACTTCTTGTTTTAATTTGGGGAGGGGGAGTAAGATTTGAAATGGGTTGACTGCGTTATACATTTCGAGCCTTTATCTTTCTAGAAGTGTAAGCAATAGTAGTGTCGCAGCGAGCTTTCACGTAAACACGAAACGTTCCATTTTTTCCTCCAAAAAGAGGATATATTTACCTAATCGCTTATCATGAGATGGATATGAAAAGTAGCCTGAATACTGATGATACAGTTAACCTTTTAGATGGTTTGTGTAGCTTGATTTATTCTACTACTATTGCCTTATGAACGTTTGTTGTAGTTTGTCAACCGACAGTTTGATGAATTCAGTGGATTTACAATCTACTAAGACATTTTGAAGTGGAATTCAATTCAGTGATGACCATGCTGTTAAAACGAGTTGGACCACCAATACCGAAGGTAGTTTTATTAAGTATTTGTAATCAACCATATCAAGCTCTCGAATGGATAAGAATAAAGAGGCTTTTTGAAAGTTATTCATGGTCCGAATTCGATATCGACTTAGAATACAGGTTTCACAGACAACGAATATCAATCAGTACAAACACATTTAATACACCATATAACTATAAATCCAAGTGTCACTTGAGAATACGATAGCTTTCCCACGGTATCTAACCGAATCAGAATGTGACCACGGATCATCCACTGACCCCAATGTTTACAGTTTCCTCATCTACTATTGGTTAGTGGGTTTGTGTTTAAAGAAAAAGCTACATTGGAGTCAGTAAAGCAGTCCCTTAATCCCCGATGAACCATTCATCTGAGTAGTTAGATATCCTTGAATCAAATTCGCAATTTGCACTACATGTACAGTTTTATGCAAATATGCCTGCTTTCTTGAAAACCATTTATAGTATGACTACGCCGATCATCACATATTGTGATCTCAATAACTTGTTTTCGAAGAAAACTACTACTGTGGAATGTTACCACCACTCGAACTGTGTAGACTGATAAGCAGTTTGCAAATCGTCAATCTGATTTATGATATGACCAGTTTGATCAAGTAGCTAGCCAGCAATTGTGTGATTTGAACTGATTAGGCTCTTTGAGGTATGCCGCACCGGGTACACAACTGAAAAGCTCTATCCCAAAAGGAGTGAAACGGCCGTCCAGTGTTTAGATCACTTCAATCTGGCTAACAAGTAGTACTGGTTGATGTAAGTGATATGCAACTACTCATTTCAATCAATTAGGAGTCTGTCTGTCTGTCTGTTTTCGACATAAAACTTTACACCGGTGTGCAGCAGTTCAAGTGACCACACTCCATGCAGCAAACAAAGCAAGAGAAGAAAGTAGAGGAAATGCATAACAAAGACAGTAGACAGGGATATGAGACAAAAGGAATAGTAATAACGAAGAACAATACAGTATTACTGGGTATTATAAGTCATAAGAGGAGTGGATGCATCTGCACTAGCCATTGAGAACGATGAGTTTGAACCATATCACCGATTGTCTCCAGACATTGGTTTTTACCATCTCAATGACCCCAACCAGCAAGTCTACACCTTCCTACGTGGCTTAAACTAACTGTTGTGGATTGCATTGACTGATGAAGCCATTTTTTGGTTTGACCGCTGCTAGCTCTTTTCCAACCTGACTCTATATCAGCTAACATTGCCCGTCGAGGAAGGCGATGACTAGGCATACGTAACACATGTCCTAACCATCTCGTTTATTGAGATCCCCTCCCACCTACCTAGAACTCGACACTTAACCTCAATATTGCTCACCATATTAAACCACTTCACACGGGAGATACAACGCAGGCACCTATCATCAAAGACAGCCAGCTTATCTTTTCATGTCTTCCACTCTCAATGGCCACGTCTCACAGCCATAAAAGAGGACGGAGCGGACTGATGAGTAGTACACCCGCCCTTTGGTCGATAGCCGGATATCACGTCTACGCCAGGGACGGCGTAAACTGGCATAAGCGAAACGAGCCTTCTGCATCGGTGCTGAGATTTCGTCAGAGATCAACCCGTTGGCACTGTCTGATGTAACTTCACTCCCTATTTCTAATCTAGGAGTCAATGTAGTCCAGTCCTGTAACATCATCTTACATAGTCATATATATAGTTATATATCCTTGAACCAGATACATGAAAGTACAGGGAATTGAAAGTAAAAAAACAAGTGAATATATTCCAAGTAACATGTACAATATCCATATATATTTACCTTTTCCATAAGCTGCAGTATTAATAACTTGTGGCATATCACCAGCAGTTAACTGATATAGTGTGAGAATTGGATCTGATATTGGTACAGCATTGTTTAAGAAACGATCCATTACTTTTGCAAATATTGGAGGACCCATCCTATGCGCCAGAGTAAATGCATGTCCCCATAGTTTAGAACGACAGGCATGTTCTAATGCTTTCATTGGTAAACCATGCATTAATAACTACAAAACATATTAGTCATATAAAAAGGAGGTAGGGAAACAACTTAAAATGATAATTAGGTAATTATACTTACAAAAAGCATTCACTACTGTTTACTACTTTCAGAAAGAGAAGAACTAAGGAAAATTCAACTTGCTTGGAGTCGATTTCTATTCTCAGCCATTAATAATAACATCTCGAACTACCAGGTGGAATGATGTCTTAGAACCACTCCAAAGAGTCGTAGGGTACCAACAGATATTTACCCAACACAACTATCCCTTACCCCGTGGCACCACATTGTAGGCCCCTTACAGTTTATCTACTTAGTGGTAAAACTATCGAACAGTCCAAGGCATGAAAGCCACTAGGATGACATTAATAGCATATGTACAAGTCAGTTTATTGAAATGATGTCTTATAGTCAACATAACATAGTATTCATAACATACAAGCATCATTTAGAGAACTATAAAACTCCTACAGATACTAAAAGGTAGTTTACTAACAGACGAGGATAATTTGTCAGTGAACATACTTAATTTCATTTGGGATAGAATGCAGTGCTAAAATCTCAATACTGCAGGGGGACTTTCCTAGAGCTACTGGATTTCAAAGGGTCACTTGATTGATATAGATAGCTGACGTGAAATGGACACTAATCCAGTCCTTAAGCAAACCTTTCGAATGGAAATAATGAAAGCAAAGATTCATATAAGTTTTTAGCTTCATCCTTATACAGCTTTACTCTGGTTACTATTCTTTACGATTGCCAGTAAGACTAAATTTTAAAAATGGAATTCAATAACTATTTACAATTCCATGCAGTTGGCAATGAGCCAGGACTAGTGATACTACCTAGCTGCCTGAACCTTGGTAGGTGGGGCAGGGTTCGAACCCGTGACATTGGTTGAAAGTCGAGTGCCTAGATTGATGGGTCACATGTTCACAGGCTCTGAATAACTGTCAAACTGATACTTCAGCTGTAATAAGCACTAACTTTCATCCCTTTACTTGAAAAGATATCATCAGTCTTAAAAACAAGAAAGCTCAGATTAGAATCTTACATCTACAATCAGTTCAAATAGGCTTTATTTGAATCATGGTTATTATTTGCTAACGACAAGCATCATCAGCAAGAAATGCGTGTATCTTAGTGAATTTCGCTGTTTCAAGTGGAATTCGAGTTTAGCATTCAGAGATAGTGATAATAATAATAATGATAACAATAATAATAACAATAATAATAATGGTAATAATAATAGTAATAATAATAATATTAATAACGACACCAACAATAAGGAATGTAAATCATCAACAATAATTCCATACAAAGAAGGAACCTCGGAAGCCTTACGCAGAATTCTTAACAAGGCAGGAATAAAAGTGGCATTCAAACCCACAAACTCAATTAGAAACAAGCTTTGTCGGCTAAAGGATCCTGTAGAGCCATTAAAACAAAACAATTTAGTTTATCTAATACCCTGTTATGATTGTGAGGTCAAATACATAGGTCAAACTAGTAGAACAGGGGCAGTCAGACTAGCCGAACATAAAAACCTAGCTAAATCTAGATTGGTTGACCCGAATAAGATAAGAAATCTAGAGAGTAGTTCAGCTATAGCACTACATGCAGTTACACACAACCATACAATAGGATGGGATAGGATGACAGTTTTAAAATCTAATGTCACAGGGTATAGGGAGAGATTGATAACAGAAGCTTTGTTTATCGAATCAACTGCAAATACATGTAATAGGAATGATTCAACACCTGTCCCAGATATATGGAAAATTCTACTGCCCATACAACAAATAGGAGAAGACAGAGAAAACTATAAAAATCAAATCTCGAAGTCGTGTGACAAAAATTGATATGATTATGAACAATAAATTGTGTTCGAAACGTCATCCAGTATACAATACTGTTTCACTGTGTGATACATTTAATAATCAAACTAATATGGAATTAGCATTCACCAATTCAAAAGACAGGATATTATCTACTTCACTGAGTCCCTTTGGCTACACTTTATTCAACAGGCGCTAATGATTTACTAACCTAAATCCATATATCGTGCGTCGGTGGCATAGCGGTTAGGACGCTCGCTGGCCACCCACATGGTCCAGGGTTCGATCCCAGGCCGACGCACTCTTTTACCTCACTAAGCCAAAAATAATCCTGGTAAAAAGGAAAGGTTGGGCATGCGGCTAGCAACCCCATCCTGTAAAATAAACACTGCTACAGAAACTTCAAGCCACTAGCTTGAAGCCCTATGTTCCACTGGGAAGGTGAAGGAAAAAAAATGCATATATCGGCATCTCAACAAGATGTTTATCACAGGGATATGCCAACAAAGATCGATCCATAATTTCAGCCTAGTAACACAAATACGAAAGTTAATTATGAAGAAAGAACGTTTAGCACAATCTATTAAAGAGTGCCTAAAAAGTTACTGGCATAATATTACAGCTAAAAAGCTTACCTCACGGAAACGATCCAAAATTTTATCTTCGGACTCCTGATTACGTGATCCTATATTCATTGCTCCAACACGCCGAATAATACTCTGGGCAGAGTTTGGTCCACCAGTTTCAGAAGCTGCCTTATTATGACGCATAAAACTTGTTCTATAGTCAACTTCAAAATGGGATTCAGGGCTTTCACGCCCACTTGGCATTTGACTTCCAGGCAAAGAATTCAGTGATTCATTTATGTACCCTTCAACTTGAGAAAAGCTGTTCAAAGCGGCCGCATAGTGTGAAGGTACCTGTACTCCTAAATACGAGCTAGACGAATAACCATAGGAACCACTTCTGTAGGAACTGGTTGTTGGTTCGTGACCCTCCAACAAAAGATTCACAAGATCCGAGGTTTGTAAGTTCTGTAAAATGAAGGTTAAAAAATATTGGATAAACAATACAGTAGGAAAACCCTATAGAAATTTAGGAACTACTACAAAGAATGAGAAATGAGACTTTTTACCACATACTTGGATTTAAACACATGCATGGATAAGTCAGATGTTACAAAAGCTGAACGTACCCATAGACGTCAACATCATGGTCACAAAAATAACAACGGATTTAACAGGCTCTTTGCAGTTTTAGGATAATAAAATAATAGGAATTTTAATAGACCAAGAGTTAACTCCAAAGACATGAAAATAACCTACAAAATGAGTTATGTGGTGAAGCACAACTGTCTCAGAAAGAAAGCAACACACAGTGTATAAAGGGAAGTCTTCCACTTCATTGCCTACTGAAGCTGGTGTCCCTCAATGCGCTGTCCTTTCTCCTTTTTTTCTTTCTTCTAAAATGACTTGCTTAACTCTGATGAAATAAACTTTGTGAAGTACGCTGATGATTTAACAGTTTCAATGGCTGTTAACTCCCAGCTAGATTGTACCAAAATAAATAGCTTTCTGTCGGGAGTCAGTAAATGGTCTGAGTCTAACGGTCTTAAACTGAATCCTTCTAAATGTCAAACTGTTAATTTCAGCTTAAGATGTAAAAGACAGTTAAAAGAAGTCATCGATTCTCATGACAGTTGTAAGATTGACGACATTTACATGGGAATTAAATCAGAAATTAAGTATCTTCGACTTATTCTCTCTTCTGATCTCTCCTGGTCTCCCCATGTCTTAGCGATCTCCAGTAAAATATTCCGCCTGACATTTTACATTAAGAAGTTAAGGCACTCGGGTATAACTCAACCCCTCCTCTTACAGTTCATAAACTCTTGCATCCTATCTATTCTTCTCTATTATTCACCCTTATTCTTTCCTGGTTAGCTTAAAAAGGACTATGTCACAATTCGCAGAATGCTGAAGACTGTCAGTAGGGTGAGTGGTGTCCCAGTGGACCACATAGTTAATGTTGTTATCGATAGGCACTTGACTTCGTGCAATAAATTTGCCAGAGGGATTTTGTATGACTTGGAGCATCCGCTTTACCCTCAGCTTTCACCTTGCATCTCCTCAGGTAGAACAAGAAGTAACTTCAGAAAACTGTATGCTCGCACATCTAAGTATAAAAATTCTATGATACCATACTTGGCACGTATTTTTTGTGATGAAAATAGTATCAGGCAACAATTAACTTTTTTTTTTTTTTTTTTTTTTTTAACAATTTCCTCCATCCATCCTTATATACCTTCAAGTTTTACTTTTATTATTTCTATTATATTTATGGTCCTGTTGCTTCTTTGTTTTACTTTCATAATCGCAAACACCAACTTATCTCTATGACTGCTGTAATCTTTGTTTTTCCTCTCACCATATCATGTAAAGAAAACATCATATTCAATATTTTTAAACACGCTAGGATTTCTATACCACATCGACAATACTGTGTAAAACAAGCCCACGGCAATTTTCACTTGTATTATTATTACCTTAGCTGTTATCATCATTATTTCCATTTTATATGCTGCATGTTTTTGACATTACCCCTATTGTACATGTGGAAAATTTTCTGCGTGATTAATTTTATTTATAATTTGAGGAAATTAGATGCAATATTGTGATTAATGCTGAAAATTCCATTCTGCATCACAAGCACTGTTTTTAGAATAAAGTAAATCATTATTATTATCATACTAACATCACAAACCAGTGGCAGTACACTTGATTATAAGGCTAAAATTAAGTAACACTATCACAAGGGGAATTACTTTTTAAGACTTCCGAAATCCATAGGACATTCGGTGAGCTTTTTTTCTAATTCCATTTAAATGTCCAATTTATTTTTCTCAGTAGTACTGTGAAATATGAAAACCGATACACACGCTGTGGGACAACGTCGTACTTAGCTTTATTTCGGTCTGAGAATAAGTGCTCAGCAAATAAAAATTTTGGAAGATTAGTTAACCGAATGAGTTTTTTCACAGTGAATACAATATTTTTTAACGAAATACACCACAACAAATATATAAAAACCGTAGATTCTGATCAATTTTTTACTCACCCCATTGTTCTTCACAAGCGCTTCCAAAAACATTAGGAGCAAATCAGCAGATTCCCAATCAATAGGCAAACGATCCTGAATTTCTGACAACTTTTCACGTAAGAATGCGAGGACATCTGCTTTTAAGGTGCCAACACGATCAAGTGGACCCGGATAGAAGAGGTGATCCGTACGATCCCAACACGCTGTAATAGCGGCACACGCACGCATTTCTTCTGTGTCTTCATCACCACCACCAGCAGGAATACTAGAAAGATGACTCGGAGTTTGTCTACCAGAATCGTCAATGCCAAAATGACTAGCTTGTTCAGAAGATTGTTGCTGACTGAAGACAGGATCACGTGTGTTTATAAAAGTGCTACACGTATTGTATGCTGCTCGTTTAGATGCATCAGCTGCAGCTTCATTTGCCAGCTCAGAAAGATCAATTATTTCAACTCTTGCAAGTTCCCCATCAAGTGGTCTAGAAGGCAGAATCTAAAAGGCAGTAAAGTTCGACTTCATAAAACTAAAAATGAACAACCAACCTGTACAATAACACCGGGACAGCCCATCCAGGCCCTTATGTGTGGACTGTTGTAGAAACGTGGGGTTTCAGGAATACCTGTGCCAAAAAGCTGCTGAGCATGTGCACCTGACCACAACTGAGCAGCTGCATAATACTGGTAATAATAGTTTGCATAATCAAACGTTCCTGTCTGGTTCCCAGATGGCATTTTGAATCCCTGAGGCTCATGTTGAGGAATATTCACTGGTTGACTTGACGGCTTAGCCCCTTGGTTTGGTGAACGGAAAGCGGCAGACTGATGAGGAAGTGTTGGAGGTTGGACCATTTGATAGCCTGGATAAAACTGGCTGTAGTACTGTGACATCATCTGATACCATTGTTCAAAAGGGTTTGGTTCTGTTTTTAGAATAGAAAGCAGAACGGCATCAATAAGACTGCAACACTTGGTTCCTATAAGAAACCTGACACTGAACATTAACAGTCACGCGTGTAAATACATACTAGCAACTTAGAAATCATGAAAGTTGGATATCACGAACACATGATCAAAAACATAAACCACTATATACGTGTTTTCAACTTTCTCTGTTGATCTGATACCTGCCAACCTTGAAATATATACACACGATGTTGTGTATTTACTCAGATGCATTTCACATTAGCGACCTGAATTCGATTCCTAGCTATAACCGGACTCCTAGCCTCAGTCCTACTGTAATGTTTAGTAACGGTTTAGTACCGCATGAGCCCTTTCAGATTTTTTCTAAGGATTGGTATTCTGAAACTTCATACACGAGACATTTCACTAGATGTGGAAGGCAAACACAAATAACTAGGCCCTAACTGTTACTTTTTGTTCTTAAAGAAGTTGAGTATCCTTATCACTTGAGGCTTTTTAAAAACAATTTACGAAAGACTCAAAACTGTCAGTTTACTAAGAATAACACTGATAACAACATCGACAAAAATAACTTACGCTGAAGGTTTTCATTAGCAGAATCAGTTGACAGGTCATGTTTCTTCTTATGTCTAGAAGAAGTGTGGGTCTTGACAATATTCCGATTAGTTCCAACGTTCTGTTTGGATAGTCTGGGTTTTTGAACTGAACCTGCTAACTGACGATTTGCCTTTTCTCCTTTCGAAACTTCTTTATTTTGTTGAGTTTGGTCAGGCTTCAATGATTCATCAGAAGTTCCCAACACACCCTCACTCTCGGCTGTAGTGTTTTGTGAATCCATCGGAAACTCCCATTAGCACGAAAATTAGGAGAGCTCTCCATGACACTTTTAGCATTGCTTTTTAAATTATCATTTGCTGAGGTGCCAGAAGAGAAGTCTATTAATAAACCAGTTGATTCAGAACTTGGCGGCATTAGATTTGGGGTGAAGTTTTGGTTTATGTATGACTTATCACTAGTCCCACTTAAACTGTAGTTCGAATTGTTCAAAGTTGGGTAGTTGTAGTTAAAATGTGGAGGATTCATTTGACAGGATTTACAGGATATTGTCCATAGTAATTCGCTTGAGGGGGGACGATGGTTTGTGGCGGGCCGACGCTTTCACTGCTGATGAATAAATTGGATATATCCACTTACCTTGGATTGTATCTCTGTTCCATTCTACAAAACCTAACACAAGTGTGACGTCGACAACGTCGAAACCTGCACGGCCCTTTCAATATTCAACATGCACTGGACATGTCAAGGTTACCAATATGAATTCCACGATGTGTGTCAGAAACTTTCCATGGCAAGTAATTTAGATTTCCCTGCCAGTTTCGTGAATAATGCAGCCCATAAGGTAGGCCAGCCAAGCTTCAGAGGGGTAGAAATAGCTATCTACATCGAGAACTGTTTGGCTTCTGTATAGCATTACATGTCTGGCAAACGAAAGTGAATCGTGAGAACTTCTACTCTGCAGACTGAAAATCATAGGACATGATATTGACTTCGTCTCAATATATGGCACTGCACTGCGGATGATTTTTTTCATAGAGAAACCAGGCTCATGGGCATCCAACTGTTGGAGTCTTTTATTCGTCGATTGCAACGCCTCATCAGTTCCTATACCCAATTTCGTTTTTACGAGCTAGTATAAACCAATTTGATTTCTTTGTGCTCGCTTCTTGATTGTGAGGTATAGGTTCTTGATCTTCGGTAAACTTCTGCGTAGCTTGTCCCGCCACTCGACTGTCGTAGCTTTGGTTGACTCCAAAGGGAGTAGTGCTGGGATTAATTATATGTGGTTTGTAGTATGAGGTATGTTAAGACTGTTACTACTGTGATTGGAGTTGATCCTTTCGCCAGTTAGTCCTTCGGTATTGTCGACAAGAGAAAAGAGATAGTAATAATAATAATGCTAATAATAGATATAATTAGTGAAGCTATTCAGACTAAGAGACAGAAACGAAAATAGGAAACGTAACAACAGTCAGCTGATTAAGTTTGAAGAATAATATATATATCGGTAATAATAATTATAGTATTATTAAGTTGTCAGGAGAGTAAGACGGGAGAGAATGTAAAGAAGTAAAATGACGAGTTTAATTATCTACCCTGATTGGTAAATGCGATTTTAAGGAGATAGGCCATTTGGATGCAGTCCTTGTATCGCTGCATGGTTGTCCAGCCTTCGCTTAAAGGCGTCCAAAGACGGTGCCATAGCTACATCTGCCGGTAAGGAATTCCAGGGACGACAAACCCGCAGTGAAAAGAAGTGGGAGCGCACCCGGGTCCTTGCCCTCTGGTGAGCTATCCTTCTGGGATTTCCACGTGGAAGCCTATACCTACTCAATGGCAGAACACCTTTGTTTGGGTGATTCTGGTCATTTGTTATTTTGTAGGCAGTAATCAAATCCCCCCTAAGCCGACGGTAACTAAGTGTGAACAGGCCTAATTTCTTCAGCCTTTCATCATATGGTTTGTTTCGGAGACCAACCACTCCTTTTGTTGCCCGTCGTTGGACTCTTTCCAAGAGGTTGGCATCTCTTCTCAGCATTGGGGGTGCAATAATATTATGCACCTCAAGGTGTGGCCTGACGTATGTTTTGTACAACATTAGAAAGAGCTCAGGAGTGAGTGCACCTAACTGTCTATGCGTAAAGTGTATGACCGCATATGCCCTCGCTACATCCCCTGTGTAATTTACGCTTGTGTCCATTTTTTCCGTTAGAACTAGACCTAAGTCGCGTTCCGACGTTGTGCAGGACAAGCTTTCATTGCACAGGGTGTAACTTGCATTCTGCAGTCTACAGGTGCGCAACTTCACTACTTTGCACTTTTTCAAGTTGAAAGTCATGCCACTGGCCACCGCCCAGTCTTCCAGAAGGTTTAGGTCTTCCTGTAGCCTATCTGAGTCCTCCGGACACTTTATCGCCCTCCATATTTTTACGTCGTCAGCGTACAGGAGAGTCGGGCAGCTCAGACGGCGTGGTAGATCATTGATGAAAATCAAAAACATCAGTGGTCCTAGGATAGAACCCTGCGACACTCCTGATGACGATCTGTGCCAAGATGATCGGACTCGGTTAACCTTAGTGCAAAATTGCCTGTCGGCTAGGTAGTCCTTCAACCATGACAGAAGTGGCTCACCTATGCCTGCCCGGCTTATTTTATGTAGGAGAAGGTCATGGTGAACAGTGTCAAATGCCTTCTCAAAGTCTAGGAAGACCACATGGACTGGTACGTTCAAGTCCCAGCATGATGTCCAGTCGTCCCAAGCTGACAGTAGGTTAGTGACGCAGGATCTGCCTTTTCTGAAACCATGTTGGGCTTCATGTAGTATATTAGTCCTATCGAAATATTCCCTGATGTGGTCGTCAATAATACTTTCCAGTACTTTTGATACCACTGGGAGTAGAGCTACTGGTCTATAGCTAGCAGCGTTTTGCCTGTCCCCACCCTTGAAGATTGGAGAAAGGATGGCTCTTTTCCACTCCCTTGGCAGGGTCCCCGAATCCATTGAGTGTTGGAACAAGTCGCACAGGGGTCTACAGAGAGCCTCGGCGCACTGTTTCAGAACAGATGGCCTGATGTCATCACAACCTGGGGACTTCCCAGGTATGAGTCGCTGTAGCTTCCTTAGTACTATTGCGGGGTTTATTTGGGGAGTAGTCGCTAGGTCTTCCTCCTCTGAAATAGTGGTGCCACCATTTTGGTCCGTAACTGTAATATCCACATTGCTGTTTAGCTGTTTAGCGAAGGCTGAACTGAATGTTTCAGCCATCTCCAGACTAGTGAGATATTGACCGTTTGGGCCTACTAAGGCGCATGCCCCTTGGTTTGTCGGTTTTCTTTCCGACATGAATCGGTACAAGTTTTTAGGGTTTGATAGGAGTTTTTTAGCAAGGTTAGCCTGGAATGACCTTCTGTCCCTCCTAACTCTTGCATTACACCGGTTCCTGAGTTCGAGGTATGCATCATGGTCGGTCTGACTCTTAGATACACGCCACGTAAACCAAGCCTTCCGCTTTGCTTGCAGAATACGTTGCATGCCTCTCTTTAACCACGACGTCTTTCTCTTGGGCTGTGTTGTGACTAACTGGATAAGTCTTACAACATCATCCTCAAATATTTCCTTCAACTATAGGCTGTTAAAATCTTCCATTTGATTAGCCCCAGTCCATTGTGTCAAAAGACCTTGGCGATATGACTTCCAGTAATTCTCCTCAGTCTAAAACCCGGTTTTCTCCAAAGGTGAGGATGGAAGCCTCATAGAATACCTTACACCCTTCGGAGGAAGCTACCGCTCTCTGCCCACGTTTCAGTTCGCGGCTTCTGTAGTATCCTGAACCAGAGCCTCAACGTGATTAAGAGTTTGGAAGGTCCACATTAATGTCATCATTTTGGCGGCCTAATCGCATGACCAAGGTATAAATTCAGAATCTTATTTGGGAGCTGCATAAAGCCAATTCAAGCCACTTTACGTCTGAGTAACCCAATCTTTCATCCCATGGTCTGTTGCAATGGGCCTGAAACTACCCGTGGATAGACTGGGAGATTTTTAGACTGCTTAGGTACAAGTGCTAATGCTGAATTGTGTTCACCAATATTGGGACTTTGAAAGCCAGAAAGCTATACTATGTGATCACAAGTGAAGCCATTTCGATACGAGCCTAGCTCAAAACGCAATGGTGTAGGCCAATAAATATTTCAGTGATTGAATCTTAGTAATAAAGCATCCATCACAGCCGCAAGCCTAACTACTGATACTGATGCAATCGAATAGGACCAGGAAGAAATGATTGTAGTAGTGGAATACTTCTCCGGAGTCTTTGGATGGAAATTCCTCCCCTCCCTATAAGACCAGTTTCTACCACTTCAGAGAAAACAAAACGGACTCCGCTGACACCGACCGAAACACCACTCACAATCATCAAATAAACTAGACACAGGAAAATCAACAGGACCCGATGACCCTCACTAAACTCTTCGCAAGGGAGTTTTAGTTTGCACGACTGGCCCACTTACTTCAGTCTCTAGGCTGTCCCTCCCAAATAGGATTTTACCGCGCGAACAAAAATTGTCACAGTAACCTTTGCCTTCAAGAGAGAATCTAGACACTTCTTCAAATTATAGGCTTATTAGTTAACGGAAAATCCCTCCTGGAAGTTCTAATTAAAATATTTATGCTTCTTAGATGCTTGAGATAACTTTGAAGTTGTAGCGGTAAATAATTTCCCAAAATTATTGACCACAGCAATCACTCATTGGATGCTGACCACACTGTTTAAGTCGACTTGTTTAGCTGAAGGCTTCTGGTCAAGCATCCCCGCCATTTGGTACCCCACCGCGTCACGTGCACGATCACTAGCTAGTTAAGCGTTCGTCTGATGGCTTGTTTTGGTCCCAGAATATATTACGAAGTTTGGAAGTTCAATTATTGGCTTTTGCTTTGTCTTTGGTACGCGAGAATAAATTAATTAGAAGTTGCTGAACGAGATATCCGTCAACCTTTAAAAAGTTATTATCCGTTTTCTCCCAGAGTGTGTATCATTCTTTTGATGGTCACATATCACATTTTGATCTGATTTTTATTCCTTTCCCTTGTTTAGTCTCTAGTCTTACTACTTCTCTTTATGCTTGTGCGTTCACTGACGTGTTGTAAGACACCACGTCGCTTGAAATGTTCATGGGGAGCGTTGGTGCATGATTATTGTGGACAGAATTTTCGATCCCACCCTTTAGGGAATATTCTTGATCGTGCCTGTAAAAATATCATGCATTTTAATGTAAATTAAT